AGTTCTGGACCAAGTGATGTTTATGAAGAAGTGTATTGCTTGCAAAACTGTGCAGCCCTTTCATATCTCTATCCATGATATTGATACATAATAGAAGGATGATTGGATGAGGAATGGATGTATGGATATCTATAGAAATTCACAAACAATATCAAACTTTACTGATAAAATAGTACTGAATTATGTGTTACACACAAGTGTTACAACTAACCCCTCTGTCTGTTACAATTAGGTAGGTTGTAACATTTGCACTTCTGTCACGTTCAGTGCAACTGCACGAAAATGGTAGGTCCTGGAAAAAAACTGAAATCTAACTTAATTATTTTTTTAATAATTGAGCCAAAACCAAAATGTGTTAGGTTGTGCCCCGCTCTCCCCTACCTACTGTACATTGCATATAAACGACTTTACATAAATAATCAGGAATCAAAAATCATGTATTTATATTAAATTAAATTAAATTATAGAACAAAAATATAATTTTTATATGCAGTATGTCTGAAGTGTTATACAACCAAACTCATTTCCACACGTCAATTGCATTGCTAGATTGCAGATGTTAACAGACAGGACAAATGACACAAGGCAACACTCATAAGGTTCTTGAATTCTCTTGCTAGCTGGCAGCAGTTGTGTGTATTTACTGGCCATCGCAGAGCTGTTTCTCATGTCTCAGGCCCGAGGAGACAGGACGGCAGAACAGCCTTTGGTGAATTTAAAGGCCATGTCACTTACAGCTGTTTTCTACATCTGCCCAATTCCTCATTCTGACAGGCAGATCAGCCTCAATGCAAGTGGCTGGTAGCGAATTTGATTTTATCAGCGCCTTAGGAGTTAACCTGTCATCTTGTTTCGCGTTACTTTTCATGTCAGTAGAATGGTGCGAGCGTCTCTTGAGCAGCTCCAGTAAAGTTTTTCTCATAAGCTGCTTTGTCAGACATTACTAAATGATGTTCATTTACTTTGGTAGGAATTTGTGTTTGGAGGATTGCCATGATTAAAGAGGCGAATAACAAGAAATAACACTTAGGGAGATCATAGAGAAACTCTTCAAAGGCCACGTTTTTAATGATCTCTGAGATTTCTTGGCTGGTCACGGGTACCATGTGACATTAGCTCACATGGTACGAAGCTTACAAAATACTGCAGATATTGTAAGTATCAAACTGCATGGCGCAAGTCTCTTTATGTAAAATTTTAGCCCTCGACTCTTGAAGGGGAATGAATGATCAAAATCAGTTTGTTATGTCAGTTTAAGCTTGTGTATCCAGGCAAGGAAGTGTTTAATTACAAGGGCCCAAGTAACTATGCAAGGATGTGTGTGTGTGTGTGTGTGTATGAAAACGACAGCACATACCCATTCTTTGAAGATGAATCCCTGTAGAGGTCTCTCTTTTCCTGTGTGGGAGAGACCCGTCCTCATTATCTCCTCTTGATTCATCCCATATCACCAGTGAATATCATCATGTGCGCGGGATGTACACGTTCACATCTGCAGCTGCTGCTTGTTATAGTGCATTACCAAAACAAAAAAAAAACCCATAAGCAATTAAAATAACTGATAGTAGGGAGGGAAATCTGCTCTATTACATAACAACAATGATTGAATGATGCATTGGAAACGGCTTGATTGGGGTTGAAATTTGAGAATATTTTCCTGTGCTTTGCTCAAAAAGACAAGGAATTCACAAAAATGTCATGTTCAATTGGTTTGTATTAATATTTATTTAAAGCTACACTGTGTGATTTTTACCCCCATCTAGCAGTGAAAAGGTATATGACCATCCAGTGAATATTAGTTTCTGTCTCAATTCCGATTTCGTTTTTCGAGTTTCGTCGAATTTGGATCATAGCTCTAGGAGGAGTATTTCAAATTCCATTGCATGCGTTTTACAAACAACCCTCAATAGCCGACTTCCTGTTGGGCTGTATATATGAAACGATGAGATCTATATGTGTACCGAGTTTTATATTATTACATGCAAGCGTGTTTGAATTATGGACCAAGTTTTTGGACCTGTCGAGCCCCCCTGCCACGCCCGGGTACCATCTTCAGCCCGGCCGATGGCCGCGGGTTCTGACCCATGTGCAAAGTTTCAAGAGTTTTCGAGCACGTTAAGGGCCCCAAAAGTGCCCAAAAGGTAGTAAAATAATAATAATAATACTAAGAAGAATAATAAATAATCCCAAGGAAAACAATAGGGCCTTCGCACTTTCAGGGCTTGGGCCCTTATTAACCCACAACCCAATAGGACAAATGTTTTGGGTTGATGGAAATACTAATAATAAATGGTTTCTTCTTTCTTCCTCTGCTTGATATCTTTCTAAAACACTGAAAACATCATAATATTAATGATCATGTGCTATTCATGATGAATGATCGAAAATATTCATTCTGTACACATTTATTTGAAGTGCATTAAATGTGATTTGCAGATCATCTTTTACTCCAGAAATATTTTTGGATTCATTTCATTTTAGAGTAACGTCATCATAAACAATAAAAGTAGGATGTAGCCTGAGAATAGAAGTGTTATTGTCACATCTGTTTGGTGTGGGTCCTCATGGGTAATTACAAATATAACATTCATTATTAAACTGATCTTATAGATATACAATGGTCTCAGTTCAATATATCAATGTGTAAGTCTTAAGGGCTTGAGGGGTTTCATTGCTATAGGCTGATCTGATATATGATGTTGCTCGCAGAAGAGATAAATCTGGTTTAGGATAAGTAATACATCACCAGTTTTAATCTGCATAGAAAGATCAAACTAATATTCGTGAGACTTTGATTTATATGTAAATCTAGTGTAGCTGTAAGCAACATTTTATTTAGCTAAGGTATTTATTTTTGAATGTATTTTTGCACTTCCAGCAGAGGGCCGAGGATGAGAGCTAGAGTATAAATTCTTCATTTCAGTGACTCAGAGTTTACATGAAAAGCCACATTTAATAGCTGAGGGCAGCAGCTGAATGAAGTAATCCTGCAATTAACATATGTCACACAATGACTTTAATAAATACTCATCCCATTAAACAGTGTTTAAACCATGACATTGTGCGGCTTTCAGAAAAGCAGCTTCGTGAAATATGACTTCAGTAGACGAAGGGCCAGCGTGTCCTCCCTCCTCCCACTCTTCTTCATTTAGCTCTGAAAGAGACTTTTCTCCTCAATTACTACTAGGATTTCACCATCCACAGGGCATAAATCATTCGCACAGTCTCGTAATAACAACATATGTCTTCATGACTGTGGTAATGACAGCATAAATTGGTTTAATCAAGCCTAGTTGTACAAGTAAGAAAAAAATCATTGATTCACTTGAAATAAATCTAAAGATCGAAAACGTAACAACCTGTGGAGTTCTCATGATTTTAAGGTTACATAAATTAAAATGCAATCTAAGATGCATGTGTGCTTTCCTTTAAGCGCATTGCACACCGAGTCCGAAATTTTCGTATGCGTTTTTTCGTATTCGTGATTCAGTGGCTCTGAATTCAGTCAAAACATCATTCAAACACCATTCAAAATGCTTGCGACGGATGAAAAAAACAGAAAACCGGGGGGAAAAAATAATACGGACAAAAATTTCGGAAGCAGTGTGCAAGCGTGAGGTCGTATTTATTTTTTTTACTGTGCGAAAATTTAATAAATATACGGGGCCCAAAAGTCTGAGTTGACTAGACAGTATGTTTCAATTTGCTTTATTAAATTGAATAAACGTTAAAAAAATTATTATAAATATTGAACAACATTTTAAAAAGTGAAATGTAAAGCCTATATTTATTTTTTCAAATATTATATTTTCAATGTTTTTTCTTTTAATTGGATTTTAAGTGTGATTTTAAGTTTACATCACTAAAACATTAAGAATATAGAATATAAATCTTACCATCATTTCATTGTAACACTAAAAGTGATGAATTATGAAGTAATTAGTAACATTTCTCTTGAAAATGTAATGTAAGGGATTACTCTTCATTTTCCTGTAATTGAATTATTTACTTCTGATGTAATTGCATTAAATAGACTAGAAATATTAGAATGGAAAATAGAAACAGAAAAACAAGTGGATTCAACATCAAAATTGAATGTCACATTATAAAATGTATGTTTTTAATGTAACCTTCTCCCTTTAAATACTCTGGTCACGTCATTAAATAATTTTTACAGTATTATACTACTTATTTGAAAGAATTAAAATTGCACTTTCATGTCTATTCTTGTATTGTTCAACTGCTCAAGATGTATATGGGATTTAGAAAGTAATTAGTAACATGTAATACTTTTTAGAGAGAGTAATTAGTACAGTAATCTAATTACAATGTTGAAGATGTTATGTATTAATGACTTTTTTAGAGTAACTTACCCATCACTGATTATAGCTGATAAACTAGAGCAGAATTTATTATTTCAGGTCTCAACAAACCTAATCATTCACAAAACAAACACATTTTAATGACCTACTTCTATGTGTGTGTGTTATTTTTTAATTGAACAAGTCATAAATTAATTTGTTTTCACTTCATAAGGCGTATGCAATATCGGTTTATTACAGACCGAGCTCTGGGAAACAGGCAAATAACCAGATATTTCCATTTATGGAGAGGTTATATTGCAAGAATAATGAATGTAGGAGGATGCAGAGCTATGGCTGCGTGATTAAATGTAAACACGTTTCAGTCCTCCTGGCTCCTCTAATAGAGGGATGCCTCAAATGTCACTTAGTAAAAGACAAATAGAGTGTATGCATCATCACTTTGTAATCAAAACCATATATGCATCTCATTTCTAATTTTACATCACAAATCTTTGCTTGCTTTTCATGCATGGGTGAAGCTCACAGATGACATGAGATGCAGAAAGAGTTTGAATTGCACTGATATATCTGTGTGACGCTTCTGTATGATATATGCTGTTGAAAATGACTAGGAACACATTCTTGATGTCCAAAATGATACCACATAGTATTTAAACTGAATAAAAAATGCAGAAATTAAGACTCTGAGAAGCTTTAATATTCAATGAAGGGCTCTTAGCGAATGTCTGATAACTATACTCATTAGGTTTCTTCTTAATGAACACATTTGTCACTGGTGAAGGGCTTCAGGCGCAGCTGTGGTCTTTAAAAAAAGGCAGGAGCTGGCTAATTGTCCTGAACTTGAATGCCATTAAAGAAATATCCACTGCAGTGTGCAAAACCTCCATGAATTTCCATGAATGGACTGTAAATATTAAATGAAAAAATATACTTAGTGACATAATTGACATAAAATCCTTTTTGATTGTCCAAGGGTGATGTTGTAGGGCAAGTAGCTAAAACTTAAACTAGTAAAAACAATTTGGTAACACTTTACAATAAGGTTCATTAGTTTTCATTAGCTAATGCATTAAATAGCATGACCTAACAATGATCAATACATGTCTTACTGTATTAATTCATCTTTGTTAACATTAGTTCATAAAAATAAGATCATCATTTCCCCATCCTTACAAACATTACTTAGTACACACAAAATAATAAAAAATAAATACACAAAAATAACATTACATTTTATTGACCAAAAAGTTAGGCTAAATTTAATATTGCACGGTTTAAAAATGCAAACTGTGATGTAGAAAATGTGACTTTATTTTTTTCTTTCCTGGAATAAGGATATGCTGGAATATGTGGTTTAAAGGGATAGCTCACCGAAAAAAAAATGTTCTGTCATCATTTAAAGAAGAATATGGGTATTCAAATAGTTGATGAGCCATTGACTTCCATAGTATTTTTTCCATAATATGGAAGTCAACGAGGCCCATCAACTGTTTGGTTATTGACATCCTGACATTCTTCAGAATATCTTTTGTGTTCAGCAGAAGACAGAAACATGAGTGGGTGAGTAAATGATGACAGAATTTTCATTTTTGGGTGAACTATCCCTTTAAAGCAAACAATCCATTATTTCAGTCTATCAGCCACTAGCCTCTGTCCTCAGTTTCTTCAGGATTTCCTCCTGGCTGACAGCTGCAGTCACTTTGATAACCTTTTCTCTGGATTTGGAGCCCTGTGATGCAGTTGAAACCATATTAATAATAATAATATCTCATTCTGTATATTGTGCAGAACACATTTAAATACACTATGCTGACCTTATCTAATGATACTTGACTCTTCTTCAGCTCCAGGACTTTGGATAAATATCGCACCAGTTCCTCGTTGGCCTCTCCGTCTGTCGGAGGAGCAGCAATGGCGACACCGACCGCCTCCTCGGACACATCTGCCACAAAAACAACAGCTGCGGTGCATGGACTCCTCATAGATAAGAGCTATTTCTTTATTCATATATTTACGATACTCTACCTGTGATTGCGTTTTGTTTGGCCCCGGGTTTAGCATGTATTGCTATTGCAATTGTCCCGTCTTTAACTTTAGTTACCGGGCCAGGAGGTGTCTCTGGTGGTTTGGGGTTGCTTTTGCTCTAAAAAGGGGAATACCGTTTAACAATTGTTCATTGTACTTCGTAAAGACAAAAGTCAACACTTGACACATATTAAGGCCAAGAGACAGTTGTAATTACATTTTGGCTTGTAATCACTATAAAATACATCCATGTTCATGCTACTGTTAGTTGTAATGAGCCCTACCGTCTTGTCCTTTTTAGGCATCGTGTTGTATTGCGAGTAAAGTGTGAGTTTCCGCGTCAGACTGCACGATGCTGAGGGGTGTACGAGTGGGGAAAAAGATATTCGAACAAAACCGAGAATTTGGGTGTACATGAGCTGAAAGACATAATCTTCAGTGAGAGACTGACCAGTCTGAGTTTTTTGTGATGATAGCAGTTTGCAGGTCGCGCGCATGTCAACAAACCTTGCATATGCGTTTTAGAGCGTCAAATATGCGCGCTAAATGCGCAGAACAGTGTGCAGTGTGTTTTTTTTTTTTTTTTTTTGCTGCAGTGTTTGAGCAGATATTTCATCTGCTGGCATAAATTACATAAATAATAAAAATATAATTAATTTTAGTAGTTGTCTTTAGTAGTTTTAGTAATAGTAGTAAAAAATAAAATATATTTATAATGAGTATGCTGTAGAAATGAATATAAAACTCAACTGTTTGTAAAATGGCTGTATTAATTGCTTGTGTGATTTAAGTAAACAACAAGTTAAGTTTCAGTGCACTTATAAAATCAGTATAATGAGTATGAGTATTATTAAATAAATAACTGATATTAGTAGTAGTGATTTTAGTATTTGTATCAGTAATAATAATAGAAGTATCATTAAAGAACTATTATAAGTAGTAGAACTGATTTTATTAGCATTATTAATGTTATATAATAATATAAAAGTTAAATTATTATAATGCATATTATTAAATGATGGTTAGTAGTAGTGCTGATTTTAATAATAATAATACAAATGATGATTATTATTGTTGCTGTTGTTGTTATTAATAATAATATTAATAATAATTCTGTTGTTGTTGTTGTTGTTTAATAGTATTTTTTTTCTTGTCTATTTTGTTCTCCTATTATTTTACAAAGTATTCCTTTCCAGAGATCCCTCCTCCAAAATGCAGTTTAGTTCCTCCTATTTTCATCCAGCTAAAAACTGTCTGTTCACATTGAGACCGGCTCAAACACTTTTTCTGACTGTATGCACAGCTGTCAAGGAGACTCATCTTTGTCTCCAGGTGCTAGAAAAACACACCATTTGGATTTCTTGAAACTCTAGTTGATTTTGCCTTTACCAAACCACAAAGAGAAGTATCAACATGGAGAACAGCTTAAGCCAAGAAGCAGAGGAAAATCCCTATCTGTGGTAAGAGCTGTTTTTACTGTTTTTAAATACAAAAATTATGTTTTAGATGTATAAAGTTTGAGTCTTTTCCATTCAGTTTAGCCCCGAGTGCTTTAACTAATTTAAGTAAAATAAAGTACAAAATATATTCTCTCATCAAGCACTCAGACTTTGAGTTGAGCTGACAATTGAAAACTGTGTCAGATGTTTCTCTTCGTGACTAGACTTGTCTTTACACAGACATGCTAGCTTTGATCCCAAGGTCTTCAGTGTATATTCACAAAATCCAGTGTGGGAATTAGATATTAATGTAGTTTACTGATGTTTACTAAAAGCAATCTGTCAAGAAAACACTTGCACTTCTAACTTTTTTTTTAATCCATACTCAAAATGAGACATATGCTTTCTATAGAAACCCATGTGAGCACATAGTACAAAACTTTTTTCTTTTTTTTTTAAGTTTTCAGAGAACACCATCTCTCAGACGTAAATGGAGAAAGCGTTACGGAGGCCTCGATGGCAACAAACTGCTGGAGCCAAATAAGGAGGACGAGACCAGAGGTACAAAAACGAATGACTGTAACAGTGTGTCATTTAGATGCTGTGAACTTGGTGATTTACACTGACAGTGACCCGGGGTGTGGGCATCACTTCAGCTCTGGGAAAGTGTTTATATTTATTTTGATCATGGATCATGGGTCACTGCCAAATCCCAAGTATTACCATTTGGCGATACTGATCTCACATTAGCAGGAAAGCTCCAAGATCAGTGTGAAAGAGCATCTGAAACTTGGCCAAATGAAAGGGACAGTTCTGCAGATGTTTTCATTTAACCAGGCTTGTGGTCAGCATCTGGGCTATAAAAATGTACAACGACAGTGGGTGTGTTCTGGGGAAAAGTGATGTGGCAGACTCTGGCCGGCCCCAAAAAAAAAAATAGAAAAAAAGTCTCTGTTTAGATTTAAATGGGCAAACTTAGTGCTTGGATCATTATTGCAGTGATTATTATGTTTTTAACATGTTATATGTTTGGCAACAGTTCTTACCAAGAATCATTTTCACACATGAATCGGCACCTCTGAGTCCAGACCTTAAATTCATTGAAAGTCTTTGAGATGTGCTGGAGACTTTACAGAGTGCTTGACTGTCAATACAAGATCTTGCCCAAAAAATGGACGCACTTCTTGATGGAAATAAATGTTGTGTTGTTATTTCCATCAAGAGTTGCATCAATTTGGTCAAGCAGCTTTTTTTTAATCACTCAACTTTCCCCAGAAAGCTAATGACTTATAGTTATAATGAACGAATTGATTTTATAAGTGCACTGAAACTTAACTTGTTGTTGTTTACTTAAATCATACAAGCAATTAATACAGCCATTTTACAAATAGTTGAGTTTTATATTCATTTCTACAGCATTTTCACAATAAAAAATAAGAAAATCATAGCAAAGGCTTGTGGCAAGAAGTAAAACTCCTTAGATGGAGTACATTGTCATTGTTTGGTAAACCATATTTAAGTTATGTGGGTTTCCTTTAAAAGAAACACAGTTAAGTTACTTTCTAGTTTCACCCTAAGGGGTGGAAGCACTGTCTGCATAACTTAGTCTGGCATGTACCACCCTAGCTGGGCACAAAATCAACTTCCTGAGGTGAGGATGGCTGTAAGAGCCCTCAAAAATGCTCTTTTAAAATATCTTTTACATAATTTTTTTAAATTGCTATGGCCATCCTGTAAGTTTGTATGTTTATTAAAGCCATATAGTTCACTCAGAAACAAAAAAAAAATGGAAATCACTGTTTTGACTGCATGCCTTTCTTCTGCAGAAAACAAAAGAAGATATTTTGAACTGTTTGTTTTGTCTGTACAATGAAAGTGAATGGGGTCCAACCAAAACAACACTGTATCCCATTGACTTTTATTTTATCGATACAAATATGTTTTTCATATGTCTTGCACAAGAACGAAAGTCATATAAGTTTGGAAGTTCGAACAACATAAAGGATTTTTTTGTTTGTTTTTTTTTTGGGGGGGGGCTCGAACTATCCCTTTATGATGTATTGTCTTTTGAGTGGAAGATTGAGAGTAAAAATAGACAAAATGGTTTCCCCATGATTTCATATGTTTTAGCTTTCAGAGAGAGTTATTGTGTGGGATTTGCTGAGGTTTTGGACTGAGAGGACAACAAAACACAAACAATGTCTTAAACTCGCAAGAAACATGGTGTCCTAGATTCTAAAATAGCCTCATATACGTTCTTTGCTGAGGCAATGCTTAGTGGTTTTCAACTTGGAAAATCCTTTTTAAATCTCACACTCACAAATAAGCACTAATCTTAATCTTTAAACCTCTCTCAAGATTCAGCAAAGGAGGATTTTTTCTTATCCTGGGTTCTTACTCTTTTACCCCCCACTCATTCAGAGAATGGAGAGATGACAGATGCCCTCACAAACAGGAACGCAGACCCTGTGAAGTTTACTGCGTCTAAGGTACATGCTGAGACCTGTATCGCTCTCATAACCACACCCATAAACTATAAAACAAACCTGGAGGCGGAAACTATGACCAGCACTATTAAAAAGATTTGGGTCATTTTAATACCTGCGCTAATGTGCTGTTTTACTGCTTTCTAAAACAAGACTCACTCAGCTGACGTTTACAAAAAAGAGATGTTCTGATTTAAAGGAATATTCCAGGTTCAAAGTTAAACTCAAATGATATAATGTTGATTATTACAAAAATATTTGGACTTTTATTTATTTATTTATTTTAAGTGGTGAGGTATACAATGGAAGTGAATGGGGCCATTTTAAGGGGGGTTTAAAAGCAGAAATGTGTAGCCCATAATATTATAAAAGCACTTTGTTTAATGATTAAACTTGCACTCTTTAAAGATATTTGAATAGTTTATTTTTTAGATTTGATTGCATGTTAATTGCAATTAATAATTTTTTTATTATAGTTTAAATTAATATTAAATGCAATTGGCTGGATTAAGTGCTTTTAACCCACTTAATTAGGGCGTAAGTACATCTTTATATGTAATTTCATAATTTTTCATTTGAAATATGGTTTAGTGTTGAATGTACTGACATTCAACAGTACAGGTAAACTAATATAGCTTAATGTCATTTCTATTGAAATGTGTATGTCATGTATTTAAATATATTTGTAATTACACATTTGTAATGATTTAGTCATTTAGAACGTTTAAAAATATTTAACAGTACAGTTAATATTATAATCAAGTATTTTGCATTAGCTATATATCAAAATAAGTGTACTTTAAAGCACAACAAAAGGTTATTCAATGATTTAAAATTTGACATATTTACTGGTTTTTTTAGAAGTGTAAAGTGCCTCTCTTTAAGTGTAAAGTAGCTCTGCATCCTCCTATATTCATTATTCTTGCAATATAACCTCTCCATAAATGGAAATATCTGGTTATTTGCCTGTTTCCCAGAGCTCGGTCTGTAATAAACCGATATTGCATACGCCTTATGAAGTGAAAACAAATTCATTTATGACTTGTTCAATTACGTTGTATACTTAAATTACACTTTCAATACAATTAAGTGCACTTCTTTTTCACAAGGGTATTGGTTAATGGTTACATCATGTGGCTGTAATATTGAAATGGTGAGGATTTTAATATTTACAAACTGGCCCCATTCACTTCCATTGTAAGTGCCTCACTGAAATCCATATTTCTTCTTTTCAAATTACGGACGAAATAAAAAATTTTTTTGTGGTATTTAAGATTATTCCACAAATGTGTTTGAATGAGCTTAACGTGTATTGAACCCTGTGTGCTTGACATTTAAAGACAAATGTTCTGTGCTGCTTGTGTAGCAGAACGGCAGAAAGTTAGCATGTACCTCACCTGTAATAAAATCCCTGCCCTGTAGACGTTGTTACAGCTTGAGGCTAAAATGTGTTAGCTAGCATGCTGACATGAGAGAGTAATACGTCGCAATATGTTTCCTCGCAAACCTAAACACCTGCAATTAGTTAGACTTCAAAGACACGTCTGGCACCAGCATTATGTTGCATGTATTTCATCAGGCTTCAAAAAGCGTAAAAACGCTTAGATCATTACATCTAGGCTCATATAACTCAAATGCAGACTGTTTGCCTGATGCTAATAGTTTTATCTAGTACATTTTTACAATGCAGCCAAGCTCTCAATTCATGTTTTTTTTTTTTTTTTTGTATGTTACTAGGAAACAAAATCCGCCAGGAACATTCCACAATCTGTGCCAAGAAATACCTTTCCATCCCAGAGGCCAGTCAATTACGTCTCTCCAGACTCTACAGGTGAAAAAGCAAAATAAAACAATATGTGCTCTTATCTCCAGTGGCACACATGTCTGCCTCCTATTTATTCCCTTTTGCTTTTATGTACCTTTGTACACTTGCTTCCTTTTGTAGTAATTATTACAGCTCTCATGACGCAGCGGTGTATTCATATTTCTCAAAGATTCTGGTTAGTGTTTGTTCTACACTTCTAACCTTAAATATCTACAATTAATTGGGCATGCACTGCTTGACGTATGGACTACTGTTTTGTAGATACCTTCAGCGTCATTTTTATTATTTATATTCAATTTTTTTTAAAAACAATTGAAGGTTAAAGTTTGAAAATCTTTCAATTACTTTTAATTGACTTTTTATTCTAAAACAATGGTGCCATTGTTATATTTGCATTCTGAATTGTGATTGGTCTTCATTTATACATCTATTTGCATTATAAATTGTGATTGATTTCTTCTGCCATACATATTTAATAGCTGCTTACACACATTTAGTCTTAATCATGCATTTTCCTAATGTCTTTTAAATGAGATATCACATTATATTACCAAAGTATAAGCATGTTAAATATAAACATTTATTATATTATGTAATAATATGTAATTTCATTTGAGCCGAATTTTTTTTCTTCACGTAATATTTGATGTACATCAAGAGGGGAGGTTTTAATACTTTTAGGATGAATACATCAAGCAACAGTAAAGACATTTACAATGTCATAAAAGGTTATTTTGACCATCTATTCCTCAAATAATCCTGAAAGAAAAATCCTGGTTTTAAAGCAAAAAAAATAAAAATAAAAAATTAAGCAGCACGACTGTTTTCAATATTGATAATAATAAGAAATGTTTTTGAGCGTGAAATCAGCATATTAGAATGATTTCTGAAGGATCATGTGACACTGAAGACTGAAGTAATTATGATTAAAAAATCCGCTTTTCATCACTGGAATAAATTGACATTTTAAATTAAATTCTAATGGAGAATGGTAATTTAAAATCATAATAATATTTCACAATATTACTGTATGTATGATCAAATAAATGCTGCTTTGGTGAACATAAGAGACTTTAAAAAAAAAAAAAAAAAAACATACACTTTTGAACATTACTGTACAGCAAGTACTGTCTGGATTCATTTTTCCGCTCTAATAAAATTCCCTTTCTTTTCCCTAGGCATGCCATTTTTTATAAGCAACGGAGGCACAAAACGGACAGTACCGCAGCAGGACAAACTTCAAGCTAGCCAAGCATGGCAAAACTTGGGCCGACCAGAGACCCCTCAAGGTCATTTTAAGAAAAAAGTGTGAGTCTCAAAAAATTCGCTCAATATGCTTTACAAGCCATACAATGTATATTGACTGACTAAACACAACACACTGTTTTCCAAAAGGGCTGCTGATGTGCTCTTTGATAGTTTCGCCTCTGGGGGAAGAGTTGACTGCAATCAGTTTTTTGAGGTACTCGAGAAGCAACATTAATATGGGGTATAATATTCAAAAGTGCAGGATGTCATATGTCTGTACATTGACAGGCCCTGTGGAGCTCAGGAATCATCCGAACAGACCCGCGGATTAAAGACTGCTACAGCCTGATGCGGAAACTACAGGAAGCAGACGGAACAGTTGACAGGAACACTTTTCACAGGCCAGACAGAACAGACCGATAGTCAAATCATGACACCCCGAATCTTTTGTGCTGCTAATATGCCTTATTTCTGAACATCTTGCAGGTGCGTGACAGGCTTTGTGTCTTTCATCCTGAAGGCATTGCAGGGGAGATTTGTCATTCCAGATTTCTCTACCTTTGCAGAGGAAACACAAAAGCTGTTTATTAAATGCAAACAACTGTCCCCTGTTAAGGTGCGTCAAATCCGTTTCCGCTGTTGTTGTTGTTGTTCTTTTTATGTAACAGTCTGGTGTGCAACGAAGACTTAAAGTGCACAGGTTATTTTCTAATTGATTTTTACATGAAAAATATCACAACGTGACTCATATCCTGTGTATTTATGAACAGGAGAAAGAAGACGGAAGAGAGAGCAGCACAAAATGGGGCATTTCAGTTTGTACTGTGGATGGGCAGAGGTATCACACAGGAGTCTAATTCAAATGATTTGAATATATACATATATATATTGTCAGGAGCTTTATAGGAGACTTAACATAAACGCAACCACATTAACATTGACGATAGCTGACTAAGAATTTAAGGAAACACAGGGCTTAAATAGAAGGGAGTTTATTATATCTAATTAACAACCAACACTGTAAAAAAATATTGTTGGTTTAACTTAAAAAGTAAGTAACCTGGTTGCCTTAATTTTAAGTTGATTGAACTGGAAAAAGTGAGTTAATACAATGAAGGAGATTGATTTAATCATAAAAAACTCAAAATAATAAGTTATCTCAACTAATTAAATTATTTAAGTTGATTTGACAAAAGAAAAAATGTTGTGATAACAAATCTTGAAAATATTTTTTTCCTAATAGTAGGAAACCAACTAGGGAACAGACAAACCAGAACGGGGAAAACAGATCCAAAACACAATGAAACTAAACCAAAACAGACCATACATGTTACGGACATATATACTCCCCTCAAAATATCACAGTTTCATATTAATTTGAAGCAGCACTACTGTTTTCAACATTAATAATAATAATAAGCAATGTTTAGCACCAAAATCAGCATACTGGTATTAGTATGATTTCTGAAGTGTCATGTGACTCTGAGTAATGATGCTAAAAATTTAGCTTTGCATCTTTATTACATTTTTAAAATCTAAGAAAATAGAAAAAAATGTACTGTTTATTTTTGATCAAATTTGGTCAGCATATAATACTTAACAACCTTAAAAAAAACTTCTGAACAATATTGAAAAAAATAAAAATATATATATATATATATATATATATATATATATATATAATAATATAATTAGTATTTTAACAAACATTTTCATTTTTTCGTAAACGTCATTATCTTGGTTGAATTTATCTTAACCAAAGCTACAAGTAAGAATTGAAAGTTCAATACCATTCAACAAATCTTTTTTTAAAACTCAAATTTAATGTTATGACTTGCCTGTTGAAGTTTAAATGAGATGCTGTTGTTTTTGGACACTAGACTTTCCTTAGGAGACTGGGCTGAACCTTGCATTCTGGGAGAGATATCATGGCCTCTCATATACAGCCTGGCGGTGGACCAGCAAGGATCCGACTACGTGCACAGATTTGTAGGAATGGAGGAATATTCCAAATATGAGTCTCCATTTACCCTGACCAAGCAAGGTAAGTTCACTCAGTTCGTTCCACATATTCCATTACCTTGATTTATGTCCAGTTTTGGATTCGAGAACAGTTTGATATTCAGTTCAAAGATTTTTTTGGCTTCATTTACAGGTGTTCCTCATAGTCCGCTGGTTGAGACAGGAGCCATTATCTGCACTTCTTTATTACAGGTAATAACGTAGCTTGTTTATAAAAATACAAAAACATACTTTTATTGACTGTTTTTGTCCTAAAACAGCTGGCATCCAGGCAAGTCACTGATGAAGAAGAAAAGTACGAGTCTGTAAGCTTAACTTTGACATCAGCCAGCTACATTTAACAAAAAAAAAACAGCATAAAGCAATCTTTCAAGCAAACCATTCTCACACAGGTTTTGAATATCATCAGAAGACTGTGCAACAAAGAGCATGCAAACCTAAACTGCACCAGGTATTTCTATGAGAAATTGATTTTTTTTTTCTGTTTATTTGTTGGTGTTAATTTCAACTGTCAGCTTTGCCATTGCAGTTATCAAACCTTGCGAAAAGACATCATCCGTCTGCACGCTCTTTCATTTTACCTGCAAGAGAAGAAAGTAAGTCCTGGATAATTCCTCATACGATCAATCTTGTTTCTACATGGAAAAACTCATCTGTGTTTAATAACTATGCATTTCAGTGCTTTCCGGAGAGTGTGGGGATCAATTCTACATTGGATTTACTGTTACAGGTATTCAGATTGACATAATATTCTTAAAAAGGAAGACTACATGATTACATTTTAATTTCGCATATATCTTAGTGTTTATCGACAGAAGTCACCTGCGAGTCCGGCGCGGCATTGGCTGCAACCCTAGCTAATGGAGGACTGTGCCCTCTATCAAGTGACCAAGTGATGTCCCCCCATGCTGTCCGCAGTGCTCTTTCCATGATGCAGGTGGCTGGAATGAATGATTATTCCAGAACATTTCATTTCAGGGTGAGTTTGTGACTAAGCTGGTACATAATGAGTCATATTTGTGTGATATATTGCAGGCTTAGCATCAGCTCAGTTTCATTTCCACCGAAATACAGTTCAAATGTACTCCCACATCTCTAAAAGATGCCTACACTTTCATCTAATTAAACTAATTAACTAATTAAAATGGCCCGAACCCTGGAACATTAATTAGCAATAATGGTAACAATGGTCAGTAATGAACATCAGTGGAGGTATCCATAAATTAAACGATGTCTGTAAGAATTATGTATTCCCCTACTGCCCTCTAATGGAGACAGTCCAAATTGCTTTATATTGTCACTTAGAGGGTTAGTTCTCACAAAATTGAATTTCAAAATATACTCACCCTCAAGCCATCCTAGGCGTATATATGACTTTCGTCTTTAAGCCAAACACAATCAGAGTTTTATTAAGTAATATCCTGGCTCTTAAATTATGGGATCTTTCACAATGGTAAATGGAGGATGGTTGGATAATATTTGCATACAGACGTCGGTGCCCGCCAAGTCCAGTCAGTCTGGTGTTGTGCTGATCGTGGTTCCTGGAGTTCTGGGACTCATGTGCTGGTCACCTGGCCTGGACTGCAATGGAAATTCCTGGAGGGGTGTCCATTTCTGCGAGGTAAGGTACTGGATCAATGTACAACATTTGTTTGTAACAATTCCTCTCCCCCTAATACGCCTCTGTCTAGCCCTCTGAGAATCTAAGCTTATTGTCTATTGGTCGGTCTTGAGAAAATGGCGACTATTTATTGTCTGTTTTGTCAAAGGAGCTGGTTTCAACCTTCCAGCTGCACAGTTTTGACATCAGGACCCCCTTCAGACAGGTGCTGTGTTACAGACAGTGGAAGGTGGAGTCAGAGGTCTGGTTAATGAGTTTTATTTTTAGCTTATGAATTGTATTTAAATCATTATGTAAATTCTTGACACTGTTGAGGGATATGGAGGTGAATAAATATATTGCTTTCTTGAAATACAGGGATACCAAATCATGAATGTACTATTAGCTGCTTACAGAGGGGACATGGTGTCTCTGCGAAGGTAAGGATCACCAAGATATGATATGGAGTAGCAGGGGGAACACACACCAATATAGCTAAAAATGTATATTTGAATAAAGTTTGTTTGTTAATGGTGAACTATATTGAAAACAAGAGTTGGTTCTTCTTTTATAGGTACCTTCTGTCAGGAGCAGATGTGAACGCTGTAGATTATGATGGCCGGTCAGCGCTGCATGTCGCAGCTTCTGAGGGCCGTCTGGAAGTCATCAAGTTCCTGGTGGAGAACGCAGGTGCAAACTGCACACTCAAGGACAGGTAACTTTGTGAAAGTCGTGTAGGATATGTCTACTATCACACGTCACAGGGACTAATCTATGCAGCCGGTGTTCACAGGTGGGGTAACAACGCATTACAGGAGGCCATGAGATGCAATCAAGACCCTGCCATCCAGTGTCTGAAGAAATACACCGATTATGAAGAGAGTTTATGATGAATATATTTAGAATGAAGAGGAGGTTATAAGGAGCAGCAAAGACTTGGATGGAAAATCTGTGGCTTGCTGGCAACAGTCCCAGATAAACTCTCGCTGCTTATTAGGAATTATTGAAAGGGACTGAAACCTTGTTTATAAATGCTGCAGGAGCATGTGTTTACTGATTCAACATTCATTTCAAACATTATGAATGCATCATTATTTTTCATATTACTTTATTACTGTATTTTTGATCAAATACATGCAGCCTTGGATAATATTTTTGAATAATGTATTTTATAAATCTAATCATTATTTTAGTAACACTTTACAATAAGGTTTCATTTGTTAACTACATTAGTTAACGTGAATTTATTCATTTATTAATCTTTGTTAATGTCACCATTTGTCAACTGTCAACATTTTCATCAGTTAATGCACTGTGAACTAACATGAACAAACAATGAACAGTTGTATTTTTATTAACTAACAAAGATTAACAAATACAGAAACAAATGTGTTGCTCGTGGTTTTTCAAACTAATGTTAGCAAATGAAACCGTATTATAAAGTGTTATATTTTCAACCAAAGCTGGTTTTGTACATTAGCCTACTGTGTGCACTAACTATCCAATAACTAATTTGTAGTCAATTTTTGCCTGAACAAACCCCATCTTGAGAAAAAAAAAATTACTGGAGTAAAAAGTATGAAAACTCTTCCTTATAGGCTAGTTATTTATGGAAACTTTTAGAAGTCTTTATGTAGCTAAGCTAATACTGCCCTACATCTGCAAAACAGTCCTCTGTATCACCTTCTAGTGAAATTCTTGCAGTAGATAGTAGACCGACCGATGAGTGACCTCTAGGACCGTCATAGTTGCAAGATCTCAGTACTGCCCCACCAATGAAATCTGGGCAATGTCCCAAGGTGCAAAATCACAGTACAGGCTCCATTGCGACGGACGGAAGAGGGTGGAGAGCAATGTGGACTCACGAGGAGAGATAGTAGCCTACAGACTGAACCATCCCGACACGTTTGTTCATGTGAAACATTTGAGGACGAACGCGGATAAGAATGTCAGTGGCAGGATTGAAGAAACAGTTTCACAAAGCAAGTCAGGTAATACGAAGCTTTTGTGCGACGATGCAAACAAGGTTTATTTCAGTGATCGAGTCATTTTAAAAAAGTGATACTGGCTTGACGACTTTGTTAACAGCGCTTTAAATTGCGGTTTTAAAGAGTTTGAGTACTTATGTGACATTCTGAGTTTGTTGACTGCGTGAATAGTGTAGTAAAAGCAATGGCTGAATCGCGAACCAATTGTTCTTTTGAGTCGGCTCTATTTAATGAATCAGTCGAACTTCTGATCTTCACAAGCGAGTCTGACTGAATCAATCCTGTGGTTCTTGAGTGAACAACTGGATTCATTGGAGTGGATCGAGAAAAGCAATTTTACATTCAAAAATGTACGAAAATATTTTGTTTACGACTTGACACATAAAATCAGAGCTGCATTTTATTAAAAAGTGCAAAACGTTTTAGAGAAGTTAATAATGCAAGTTTTTTTATTTAGAACTTTTCCTCCTGAACTGAATCATGGCAGCAACGTGTAATGAACAACACCCTTAAAATCATATCGTAATTATAAAAAGTATGTAGTTAATGATATGTTGTCCCTTGAGCAATGCGACGTAATTACCTCACGACGTAAAGAATCGCCGAATCCGTTTTTGAACCGATTCTTTGAAAAGATGCATTCGAAGGAACCGATTCTCGAACATTAATAGTACCTTTCCTCACTTCATTGCATTCTTTCTCTGTTCATCACATCTAGGTTGTAGTAGTCAACTGTGCGTGCGTGACCTCACAGCCCAGTTAATGATGAATTGTCTTATAGTGTTCACAACCACCAAGCATGACGCAAATATGCAATATTAAAATATAAAGGGCATTAAATTAAATGTTAAATTCAGTTGTTCCACATTAGAACTGTGCTTCTCCCAACTTATTTAATCAAACATGTCCTTCTCACCTTGTGTTTTTGAACTATTGTTAGTGCAGAGTGTGCTAGTATGAAAGAGAAACTTGTGAGAAACAAGCCATGGGTGTTGTCTGATATCTTGAATCCAAAGTCCACTTACTATCTGCTATTGTTTTTGTTCATATTGAGTTCGTTGTGGATAATAAAATCTATAATAAATAAAATCTATAATAATTCAAAATAAAGCCTGACCATTCACTCCTGGAGTTTTTGTTTGTAGTATTAGGGACGGTTTCTAGGTCTACTCAAGCCACCAAAGTATGTTTTCCAAGGTCACATTCTTTCGATTCGTTCATGGTGATCTGAATTCTCTTATTATTATGGATTCATTGTCCAAATGACTGACCTTCATAAACAGTTTTGCTTATGAACCGCAGGAAGCAGATGCTCAGTCATCACAATGTGTTAAAAACGGCAAAGCGTGCGGATTTCCTGGTTTTGTTTTGAAAATGTTGTAGACTTTGGATTGTGTTGTTATTGGATCAGCCACTCTTTATCATATCTTAGTGTAAAGATTGCTATTAAACTACAAAGGTAATAAATAATAAACCAACGCTATCTGTAGTGTCCTTTAATTTCATCTTTTATGTTATAAAGACTATTATGTGCTGAAATAGTCACTAATCATGATATGAAGGACATTGCAGAAAGATTAGTGACCATACAAACACATAATAGTCTTCATAAAATAGAAGTTATGAAAAGCTATTATGTATCAAAATAGTGAAATGTTCATATGATGAATTGAGTCCAATCACATATCTTAACTTTTTTTGTTAAGCCCACTCAACAAATAAGTAATATTATTTTTTCCCCTCTTTGGTTATCTATACAGTTGCTAAAGGAAAAGATCAATGGAGTTGAAGGAACAAAACTGGATGAGGAATTCCTCAACATGGAAAGGGTATAAATATCAATCCCAACAAAATAAAGAAAATATATTTATTTAAAATATTCAAAAATCTGTATGCATAAAACCGCTTTTTTTCTTTGTCTATTTTATTGATTGCTTTATTGTAGAAAACTGATATTACCCACAAAATGATTCTTGACCTTGTTCCAAAAACTATAGGATATCTTCAGCCAAACCCAGGTATTTAATATAAAATTTTATTATTTTTAAGGTTTATTCAGTGTTTTCTTTTATTATATGTCACTGATTCTCCTTTTTTGTTCTTCAAGCATACAGAGCAAAGCTCAGCATGCTCAACACAGTGTCCAGAATGCGTGGGCAGGTGAAGACTGTTGGCTATCCACAGACAGAGGGCATTCTGGGAGATTGCATGTTGCACTATGGCAATGAGCTTGGAGCTGAGTCTGGTTTTGGTATGTTTTGCACAATAATGAAGCACAATGATGTTGCTTACTGCTTAAAAATGTCAAAATATCAATTTTGATTTTGGCTACATTTGTAGGTTATGCTCTGTTTGAAATGGGAGAGGCTTTGAAACAAGTAGCGCAGGCAAGAAACAGTATGGATGAGCGAGTGAAACGAACCTTCATTGATCCTCTGCAGTCCCTGCAGCACAGAGAGCTGAAGGAAATTGAGGTCAGTTCTAAATATAAATATAATTTGTTGATAAATTTGTATGCTTCAATTTACTAATGTTCAGATTAGCTCTCCTTTTGCGTATGCATTTACTCCACATCATGAAAGCATTAGTGTAGTGTTGTGATTGTGTGACTTTAAACGTATTCTGAGCATTTGAAGTGAAAATAGTACGTATTTTTGTTGTGACTGAAGACATTACCATAGCTTTCCTTCTTTTTCTGCTTGTCAGTATCATCTCAGAAAACTTGAAGGCCGCCGTCTAGATTTGGATTACAAGAAGAGACGTAAAGGAAAGGTTTCAGACTCTGAAATGAACATAGCACTCGAGAAGTTTGAAGAATCCAAAGAACTGGCTGAGAGAAGCATGTTTAATCTCCTAGAGAGAGATGTAAGTTAGCATATGTATAAATACAACCATGACCAAAACTATTTACAGTGACGTCAATTTTGTGTGTGCAAAAAGCTCATCCAGTAGGTTTTGCAGTTATTGTGAGATTACACAAATAAAAGTAGACCCTTTACAGTTTAGAATGATGTGTAACTGAATGGATTGTTTGACATTTTGTTTTAGGTACAACGGATGCAAAACCTCTCAGGTCTTTTAGGAGCAGTAATAGACTACCACCGTCAGTCCTGCCAGATTCTAGAAAATCTCAGGAGCAATTTGCAGAGCAGGTTAGAGTCATGATTAGTCCAAAGACGTCAGAGTCCCTGTACTAACCTTGGTTTCATTTAATATGTCCTCTTATTTTCCCCTGTATATAGGATAACAGATGCAAGCAATCAGCCCAAAAGGGAATTTGCATCTAAATCAGTGAGGAGCACAGTGTGCTACACGGATATTTATGGACTTTCCGCCTGCTCATCAGGACAATTATCAGGTGTGGTAATAGGTTATTTGACTGTGTTAAACATGAACTGTTGAAATACTGTATTATGTAGCGCAGATACTAAGATCACTGAAGCTTTGAGTGAAAAATGCAAGTCATTTTAAATGTGATACATAGACTCTCACTCTTTTTTTATAGGTATGGTTTGATGTATCCCAGCAAGTTTTGCTACTAATGTCTTTCAATCTTACTTTAACAGATGCCCCGGTTGTGGTTCACCCTCCCAAGAATGTCAAGATAAACCCTCAAACAACAGATATGCCAACCAGCAACAGTAAGCAAGATCATTTTACCTCCAAAAAATGTCTAAAAATGGCTGCATCGTATATATAAACAGGGCATTCAAAAGTTTGAAGTCAGTAAGATTTTTTTTTAAAGAAATTAATACTTTAATTCAGGAAGGATGCATTAATTTGATCAACCGTGACCATTTTAGATTTATATTTTAAGTAAATGCTAATAAATGATACTTTCTTTTCATCAAAGAATCCCAAAAATGGGTTTCAACATTGATAATGATAAGAAATGTTTCTTGAGCAGTAAATCGATTGATATTATTAGCATATTAGAATGACTTCTGAAGGATCACGTGACACTGAAGACTGGAGTAATGATCCTGAATATTCAGCTTTGCAAAAAGAATATCTTCAAATATATTCAAATAGAAATCAGTTATTTTAAATTGTAATATTATTTCACAGTATTCAATTCAAGAAATGCAGACTTTGAGAGCATTAGAGACATCTTTAAAAACATTTAAAAACCTTATAAGTAACTAAGACAATCCTTTTTTTATTTAGTTTACATAATGCTTCTTTATTTAACACTTTTTAGAGGTTTAAATATTGATTTACAATGTGGTCTTAGACTTTAATTTGCTATGTATTCATATAATATAATGTAATAGTAACATAAATAAAGAAGGACACTTGCTTATTAGTTTTCAATTTTTGCTTTAAAGTGACCTTAACCTTGAGACAGAAGCTGTATAAATAAAGTTTCTTTTCTTGATGTGTGCTAGACGATAGCGCTCCCCCCTTGGGTCAGCCTTGCTGTCGGGCACTTTACAGTTTCCAGACAGAAAACCAGGGAGAGCTCAGCTTTAAGGAGGGTGACATCATCATTCTGACCAACCAGATTGACGAGAACTGGTATGAGGGCATGATCAGAGGGGTGTCTGGCTTATTTCCCATGAACTACGTCAAAGTCCTTGTACCTCTACCACAATGACGGTGGGAAAAAACTGCATCTGGACAACATGAACTTTTCAATTCAACTTTTTGATTATTTGATAAAGAATAATGTGTCAAGCACTTCTGAGCCCTGTATATTTATCTGTATGATCACTATGCAAAGTTATCTACCCTGCCTTGTATTCCTAATTTGATGATATTTTTTTTAATGAATCTCAAGATGTTAAATAAACATGCTGCTATATTAAAGTTTTAAATATCCTTTATATTATGTGCACTATGAATGTTGATGTATATGATCCTTCTCAAGCGAATATTTGTCCTAAATAAAGATAGAAATAAATCCCAATGTGCACTGAACTGCATTACAATCAGCTAGCTTAAATATCCAGTGTTCTCACTATGAAATGAAATTAATATAAATCAAATAGTAAAATAATGTATGTTTACTTGCTATTTAAGAGTACTAAACAATATTTAAACGCATATTTCTTCTCAGACGTGTTTATTAAACAAACTTTGCAACAGAAACGCTGCAATGACTTCTAGTTGCCCTCCCCACACTGGCGTTGATGTAATTCCGAATTTTTGTCTGTTTTGAGCTCAGCGGCGCGCCGTAGTGGCGGTTCCTTACTGGAGCCACGGATGTTCAAACTCTTGTTGATATGAAAAAGTTTTACTTTCAAATAAAAGGATACAGTTACTCAATCACCGTGGATTTATTGTGAAGTGTTTACCAGCATAGTGTTCAAATTTTCTACACTTTTGATAGTCTAAACCAAGGGTAAGTAGCTAGCTGTTGCTAATCAGCTGATGAATGCAGAAACTATTAGCACAACAACACGAACAGCAACAAATAAGTGCGAATTGGAGAGTACAAGATATTTAACTAGTGTAACGGGGTTATTCTAAGTGTTTATCGTTAGAATTAGCGGTTAAACTTACTTTTATGTAACTGAATCTGATTTTTTTTTTAAGTTAAAGAAGATTGACGTGAACTAGCTGCGATGCTTGTTGGCTAACTTGCATATAATGTAGTCAGAGTCATTGAGGATATTTTAAGCTTAGTTTTGGCTCAATTCAGATTATAAATAACAAAACCGACTTTTGTTAAGTCGAGTCCCAGACTAAAATGCATGTTTGAGTGGTTTTAACAGAAAGCAGCTTGCACTGACATATCTTAAAATATGTTGTTTTGTCTCAAGATTTATAAGGTTTATTTTGCAGGCATGCTTGTAAAAGCTACTCAAACGTCCTAATTAAACTAAGGCCTAATCCTGGCTTAATCTAAAAGCTTGTCTGTTAAACCGGTCTTATAAATTAATGTACAGATAATTTGCTGTCAGTACAAAAAAAAAAGTAATCTTTTAGTCTGTTGCTAATCATAAAAAGTAACAAAATTACATTAACGCCACTTTAAAGTGCAGCACAGTTGGATTTAATGATCTTTTTTTTTTAAGTGAAGCATCTATTATTTAAGACAAACTTGATAGTGTTGTGTGCCTGACAGCTGTCCCATCTTTTTTTCTCCTGGCAGCCGTGACTATGGAGGACGTCACACGGCTGGTGTCGTCAGGTGACTGTCTGAAGATCTGGGACTCGACCTCCATGACGGTGGTGGAGCAGTTCAACCCTCACAGTGCAACATATCCAGTGGCTCAAGTGTGCTGGAGCAGCAGCAGTATCCTCTCTCATTGTGAAATCAATCTATTTTCAGCATCACACATGTCCCAGAGAAATGCCAGTATGCTTAAGACATGACAATGTGTGTAGCATCTTTTAGAAGAGATATTCCCTTTGGTTTACCAAGTGAAGTGTGCAGCACAGTACAGTACTAATAGAAAAGAAAGCTTAATGTAGAGAGATGTAAAGAGAAGCATGTTTGGAGAAACACAGTACATAATAAGTATTAATATCAGAGCAGTTAATATTTGATAGATGAAAGTGCTTTGCCTTGACAGTGTTCAGATCAGTACTTGGTCAGTGCCAGCAGTATTGGGGACAAGCTGGTGGTTTCCAGTCTCAAGTCGTCACCAGTTCCAGTGATGGAGCTGGGTGAAGGGGTGAGCTGACAAACTTGATACGGTACTGTTTTTCAATATATCAAGATTATGTGTGTCTCTTAATGGCCTTTTGTTTATAGAAAAAACAAACTCGTGTCAGTCTGAACTCCACGTCACAGTTCCTGGTCAGTGGAGGACTGGATAACAGTGTTAATATCTGGGACCTAAAGACAAAAAGGTTGCATCGGACCCTTAAGGTATCGCATTGTTTCAAACCGTTTGTTGTTGTATTTCTTGCATATTTCAGGCATTAACTGCAAGCTACAAAAGACACTCAGGGGAATGTTTAGATCATCTACTAGAGTAGACAGACGTCTATATCCTAATCCATTTCCTTTGTCTCTTTCTGTATAGGACCACAAGGAGGAAGTGACATGTGTGTCTTTTAATGGAGGCGATAGCTATATAGCTTCAGGCTCCACTAGTGGAGATATCATCCTCCACAGTATCACAACCAACCTGTCCAGCAAACCCTTCGGCCATGGGCCAAATTTGGTACGTCTTTAGCCATACAAAATATTATAAGTATATATATTTTGTATACATTACAAGTTTGGGGAAGATGTTCATGTTATGTTTCCAAATGCATGTTATAAGCGACCCAGACTCAAAGCAGATGCAGAGATCATGTGGAGTTCATTTACTGTGAGATGTTGAGAACACAGGAATATGGCTGCTGATCGAACAGTGCCATGCTTCAACACGCTCCACATCTTTTATTTAATTAAATCACAGCATTTGCAATTCATAATCACACCAAGCCATACGTTTTCAGTTTTATTTCAATGAATCGTGCAGCCCTAATAAAAAAATACACCATGTGATCTCTCTTCAGCCAATCCATGATCTGAGGTACTCGCTGGTGAAGAGGTCTCTGCTGGGCACTGTGTCTGACAGTGGCTCTGTGGCACTCTGGGACGCTAACACTCAAAAGGAGCTGCACTTGTTCGAGGGGGCGCACAAAGCCCCGTGTTCAGGGTTGGCCTTCTCCCCAGCCAATGATTTGCTCTTCATCACTGTGGGGCTTGATAAGAAGATCATCTGCTATGACACCTCCAGCAAAATGTAAGAAAATCATCACATTTAATATGCATTTTGTGCATTGACATTTGATTTAGTTATTAATGTGTGTGCGCATCCCCACAGGGTGTTTCGCAATAAGCAGGTGGAGTCTCCACTCACAGCCATCGATTTTACCCCAGATGGGGCTGGACTGGTTGTGGGCTCAACGCAGGGAAGGATCTACCTGTATGATTTGAGAAACCTCAGTGCGCCAATCAAAATCACCACAGCTCACAAGACGTCAGTGACCTGCATTCGCTTCCAGAACTCCACCTCCAAGTTAAAGGTACAGCTGTCTACGTTATGTGTACATAAACACATTTCTACAGAAGCACCCTTTATGTTTCATGCGAGGTAGTGTTTTTTTTTTTTTTTTTGCTAAACTGACTCCGTATCTCCATAACAGAAATGAATGAATATGGGAGACAACGTTTAAAAAATGAAGACAAAAATAACGCACGTGCAGTTTTATATATTTATTTGTTTATGAAGAAATAGCTTTAAAAATTCTGTTGTAGGAACAAATAATTAATCAAATTTCTCAGATTGAGAATATATTTTAACTAATTGAACCAATTGATAAAAAAGTGCAAAACATGCAGTGCATTTTATTTTAAATTTGAAATTGTTTTAATCAATTTAATTAGATTTTAATTAATATATAATTATTTCTTAAATTGTATTTATTTACTTTTTTTTGTAACACCTGATGTATTTTAAGTATGTAATATACATTTTATATTAAATTATAATTTTTATTTTTAACTTTTTTAATTGAATTGTAATGAATCTATTAATTAATTTATTTCACATTTTGTAATATAATATAGGTTTAAAAATCTGTTATCATTTTTAAAATCTGTTCTAGGAATAATTGATTATTCAGATTGAGAATATACTTTATTTGATGTGTGTAGGTTTGATGTATAATTTATGCTGTTTTAGTGATTTATGTATTTTTGGCAGTCACAGTGTGTTTTTAGAAAATTGTCATTAGTTTTAATTCATTTAATACCATTTTCATTAATGTATAATTATTTCTTAATTTTATTTGACTTTTTACTTTTTTTGTAACATCTGATGTAATTTTAAAACAGTCTGTCCTTGGAATAATTATTCAAAATTTTCAGATGAAGAATGTTTAATTCTTTGATTAAATTATATAACATGCAGTGTTTCTTTTTATGAATTTAGAATTTGTATTTAATTAGTTTGAATTAATTTAACTAAATGTTAATTAATGTTTTAAATATAATTGATTTATTTTTAAAATTTTGTAACATCTGATAATGATTTAAAAATCTGTTATAGGAATATTTAGTAAATGATTGTGATTATGATTAAAGTATGTAACAACATGCCGGTTGTTTTATAAGGAATTCGAAATTTTAATTTTATTAGATTTAATTAATTATTTAAACAAATTAAAAAATACACACTTTCCCTGAAAATACAATATTGTCCCTCCCTATATTCAATAATGTTTACTTCTGAATACTTCTGACTATAATGCATATTTAAAATCCAGCCCTGTTTCCACAGTCCACTAAAACATCCAGCAAGTCTTCTCAATCAAATAAGCGGATTTCAGTAAAATTGAGCAGTCAGCAGACGGGACCTTCCACTCCAACATCTGCTGTCCCACCAAGTGTGCCTGGCTTTGAATTTCCTGGAGATGGCCAAGCCCAAGTCACAGGTCAATCTTCCTCTTTATGGCTTTTGCTCAGTTGGCATTAAAGCCTTGTTTGTAGGATGGTTTTAACGGTGCTGAATGTGGTGTCTGTTATAGGCCCTGCAGGTGAGTTCTCCCGAGAGGGCGAAGGTCAGCAGAGTCAAGATCAGCTGCCCAATGTGGAGAAATTTAGCGGCATAGGTCGGAACAGCTTAAGCCTGGATATTTTCTCCCCACTTAATGATGGTAAAATTGCTGATGCTTGCGTTTTTCATGTATTGTCCTTGTCTTCTCATTTCATGGGTCCATAATGTGCTTTTCCATCCTGTCTGCAGGTTTCAAAACACATGGTTTTGTTGATACTCCAACTTCAAGAAATGGTGAGTGTTTTAATTTTTTTTGTTTATTATGTTCAATCATGTATGGCAGAGTTCAAGAGATAATGAATGTGGCGTGCAATGATTACATGACTTAATGATCATGGCTCACATGTAGGAGGCAGTATAAACATGTTCTCGAGGGAAGCAGAAGGTCAGCACGGCACTGACCGGTTCACAGTCGGCAGAAACAGCTTGGACATCTTTTCACCTGTACGAGATGGTGAGGGAACTTTCACAGCTTTGGCCTCTATTTAATAAATGTAAATAATAAATGTACTAAATAAAGCATATCTCTATAGATTACAAAGGGCAAAGACTGAGTGATGCATCAAATGGAAAGAAAGGCAAGTTGGCACTAACAACATTTTAATCAACTGTAATGAGCAAAACAACATTGCTTACCAACACAAGCGCTTCCTGTGTTACTAGACTATGAATACCTACCTCATTTCTCTGGTGGGTCGTCCCAGAGGAAGACCCCATTGGGCACTCCAGGAAGTCGCTGCTACAGTCCATCTGTGGTTCAAACTC